CTCAGAGGGATGCACCGATCTTGAGCCTGGAGGAGGTGACGCTTGAATATTAACCAGCTTTCTTGGACCCCTCTTCCTTCTAGGGCCCTACCCCATGAGATTCCCCTAAGTAGGTCCCTCAAGAGGCCAAAGTCAGCTCTCCTGAAGTCCAGCGTTGCAATCCTACTTATTGCCCTGCTCCCTCCTCGGAGGATCCTGAACTCCACCATCTCATGGTCACTGCAGCCAAGGCTGCCCCCAACCTTCACATCTCCAACTAGACCTTCTTTGTTTGTCAGTACAAGGTCTAGCATTGCACCTCTCCTCGTTGGCGTCTCCACCACCTGAGTCAAGAAATTATCATCCGTGCTTTGCAGGAACCTCTTTGACTGTTTGTGCCTAGCTGTGCTGTCTTGCCAACAGATGTCAGGGTGGTTGAAGTCTCCCATGAGAACCAGGGCCTGTGATCATGAGGCTACTTCCAGCTGTCAGTAGAAGGCCTCATCGATGACTTCCTCCTAATACTGTTTTCCTATGGTCAGGAAAATACTCTCTGCCCCCTTGGACTTCTCTGCAATATCAGAGCAGCTTCAGTCATCCTTTAGTTAACTCTCATCAGGGAATGGGAAGGTAGAACTCAATGAACATATAGTAGTTCTCATTTTGATTTCTTTGAAGTCTATCGAAGATACATAAAAACATTTCTGAGCTCCTGTTTCAGCTGCTGTGATGGAACTGCCAGCACTCCAGATGCCTCTTGAATGGCTAGACTTCTCCTTACTGTATAAAAACTCTCCTGGCAGATCCACCAGGGCTTTTAAAATTTCCTGCCTGTCCTGAAATGGATGAATTTTCTCCTGTCCATACTGCAATGGATTAATTTGCCTAGCTAGCTGGCAGTTACAGGCTTGCTTGGCTGTGTTTTTTTTGCCTGCAGAGTTGCACATTCCAGATGGACTTTTTGGTATCTTTATTTGATTTTATGAGAACAAGCTTGAAGGAAAAGGCTGATTGCAATGTGGTTCGGTCCCTGAAGACTTTTATAAAAATAGAAGACAAGCCTCATAAATGAAACACAGGTGCACACCCACAAACTCCAAACTAGTTTTGGAGTCCTAATTCTGGACAGTCTTGGGTCACATCTACAGGAATAAAGCTTCCTGGCCTTTCTTTCTCTCGGTGCACACCCAGGACTTGGCAGAGAAGCAAAGCAGATGTGATGGTATTGCCAGTACCAAATGCGCCACCCGTGTTGTGCGATGAGGGTATGTGTGAGGGGGGTGCATCCTTTTTTGCAAGGAGCTGCAGTACAGCCTTGTGAGCAGATCTCAGCAGCACTGAGGGCCTCTTGGGAGCAAACGATAAGCCAGTAGACTCTAGCATGAGATATCTAGTAGCCTGCTTCATCCTAGACTTTTCATCAGGTAACACCTCAAGGGTTGCTATTTCCCTTCTAAAGCAAGCTAGCAGTCATGTTTCCTGCTAAATTCCTCTCTCCATCACTATCTCACACATGTCTCCACATCCTAGGGAATGGTGGTAACCCTGTACCAAAGAGCTGGTGCCCTGCAAGCACCCGCAGGCACAGTGTAACGAGGCTGCTAAGGTTGGCCTTGCAGTACGGGCAGTACATGAGGCTGCGGTAAACTGGGGCTGTCTTTGCAGCACGGGCAATGGAAGAGGCAGCAGCCAGGCTGCTCCAGCCATCCTGTTTTCAGTGCATCAAGTACCCTGAAAAACCTAGCACAGCCTAGAGCTGCTGCAGGTGTGGCTCAGCAGGCACAGTCTGTCCCTGGCTGCACAAGAAGTAAGGGCTGAGGAGCTAATCTAGTTAACTTCTGGTCTTCATGTGCACCCTACTACCATCTTTAGGGTCTCTGTGTGCACAGATCATTCTTTGTAGGGGAAGACTACAGCTCTAACAGGGTATGAAAGCTTTATAAAAAGAGCTTCTGGTATTTTTCTGTCATACATACAGTATCTGCAACTATTGCTTCTGGGAGGAAATAAGCTTTCTGCATAGCAGCTCAATTAAAGGAACTGACAGACATTCTTACACTGTATAATTTATTCTGTTCTTGTGGTGCAGCTTCTGGAACAAACATAGATCTGAAGTTCTGCTGACCACAACACCTTCAAGTTGCTTTGGGAACTCCATGCCCAGTGCTTCATTATTTAGCTCTGCAAAGCAGTCCTCTTCCATGATCAGTATGTACAGTTTGACAGGCATTTGAAGTTGGAAGATTGCTTTTTGTCTGCAGAAAGGTGATTAAGGAGAATTTAGCAGGTGGGTGGCTGAGCACCAGCTAGTTCCCA